TTTAGGAGCCAAGTGGCTATCAGAAAAAAAATTAATTTCACGCCCTGAAAAGGAATCCAAATTTAGCCAAACAACACAAAAATTAACAAAAGAAAACTTATACAAGAAGGTCAGTATAGTGACCCTATAGGATCATTATATTTGTGATCTAGGAAGCTGTGCCTGGCCATTAAAGTGCAACAACACTGATAAGAAGACACCCAATATAAAGTTGAACCTCTATTATCCAGACTTGTGGAGACTGGGTTAAATAGCCCAGAAAGTTTGAGAGTCTGGATAATTAAAAATATTACTATAAATGAGTTATAAAGATAGCTGAATTGATATTATTTAGGCACTATTTAACAAGAATCAAAGTACATTCTCATATCATTTTGCATCATTGCCAAAATTTGCCAAAGTATATACAAAAATGTTTTTCAATGACAATGTTTTATGAGCTAAAATGCTGAAGTAAATAAGTTTGTTTCAAGCTGCTACTGACAAGGTATAAATGTCCTAAATCATATCATACTTTGAGGCTGCATTAGCGTCAACACTGATTGAGTACATCTTCTTTGTTTGCTGGGAAAATTTGTTGTGAATCTATCATGTGACTAAGTGATGTTCATGAAAAAATGGGACCAGAGAAGGGAGTCCCCACAAAGTTCAAATTATTGAGGTCCAGATTATCAAAGTTAAAATTTGAAAACATCAGACACTTTAAGTTGGAGTGATGCGTTAAATGTATGTAATTAACAGCTGTGATATAGAGCACATTTAAAGAAAATTGAAGCTCTGATTGCATCTCCATGGGTCACCTTCATAGGCTTAACAATCAATTTGAAACTATTGTTATAATACCTGGCAATAACCTACATCATTCCCACTGATTCCCTAATATATACAGGTAAACCTGGCTATCAATTATTTTTTAGTACATTCCCAGTAAATTAGAAAATTGTTGTAAATGCTTGGCATGTATCATAGAGACCAATGATCATACTTAATCTAATAGAGAAGCCTAGAGCTGGTATGAATTTCTTGAACATTTACTAGCTTGGCAAATAGGAATGCCCTGAAATGCCCCTGCCTAATGATCAGTCAGACACCAAACATTTCCTAGCATAAGAAAAACCAAGAAGTAGTTAAGTGCTGTTACATTGTTACATCAGTCTTTTAAAGGAAGAAAAATCATAGCAGATACTTTGCTCCTGGTTAATCCCCAAGGGTGTATCATGTTCTTTCCCAAAGTTGCAGTTGTATGTTTGAGAAAAATGTATCACTGGGTACTAGCTGCTTCTAAAACACTTACTACACTATTACTCAGCCTGCAGGCTTATAGTCAGCAAACACAGCTTTATTTACCCCTTACCAAGCAATAATAACAACAGCTTGATGCAAGCTTCACTTATGTAGACATAAGAAAAAATGTCTGCTCTACAGTCCAAAGACACAATAGAAATCAGCTCCAGTAGATTTGTGTTGAGCCACTCAAAATTTATTATTTCAAACTTTTTTGCAGACAATGTAATGAGAATTGCTACAGAGATCTTGGGAGTCAAAGGGTTAAAAGCCCACAACAACTGATCACAGCAAAGACTATATACTGAATGACTCCAAATATCTATGGTCTTGATTTTTATTTGAGATGACCTTACTTCCTACTGATTTAGGAATTTCAAAAACAGATTTGTTCCTTCACAGCCTCACACCAGTTATTTTAAAGATGCTTCAAATACAATAGAGCTCAGGTGTGGAACTGTAAATCCCATGATCTGTGTTCTGCAGTTCTTTAAGGCCCAGGTGTACAGGTCAAATTTTGAATCATTTTGCCAAAAATTTTGTAATATCCAGTCCAGTATTCCAAGATTTGCAACACAGTTCAGTTCGCACATGCGCATTAGCAACACTTTGCATTACCACGTTGTCAGCTCGAGTCGGAGAAGTTTGTTCTATTAAAGCATTGTTTATACTGAGAGGACTAGCGGTTGTTACACTGGCGACGAGGATACCACACTAGATTAAGCACAAAGAAGGAAGAAGAAAGCTAGAGAAACCAAGCCAGAGAGTTTTGAAGCCCAGCGAGAGAGGCTAACAAGACAAACACGTCAACGCTTGAATCAATCGATCGACAAACATGCCCGACACCGAAGAAGCAACCGGCGGCACCGCGCCAACAGCACCAGTACAAGTTATCACAGCGACGAGAAATCTCAAATCTCAACCATTCAACCCGGGAGATGACCCAATCGGCACAGGTAAAGCGTGGGACGACTGGCTCGAAGAAATCGAGCGCGAATTCAGATATTTCAAGATTACGGAACCCCTCGACAAGAAAGATGCACTCATCATTTATGGCGGGAAGGAAATCGCTCGTCTGGAGAAAAGCTTACCGAACCCAACGGATGGCGGTAACGACTATGAGAAGCTGAGGAAAAAGCTGAACGACTACTTCAAACCCAAGAAGAATAAACACCACGCAAGATATGTATTCCTCAAAATGAGACCAGCACATGGCGAAACAACGAACGCGTATGCTGCACGTTTAAGAGAGAAAGCCAACGACTGCGAATTTGAAGCAAACTGCGATGAACGAATCCTAGAACACCTCATCCAGACAACACAGAATCGTTCGCTAATCCAGAAGGCTATTAACAAGAAATGGGATTTAACACAGTTCCTCACCGAAGCTGCACAAATAGAAGACACAACACTTCAAATAAGCGACATGAAAATTCCCCAAGATGTGAAGAAGGTCGGAAGACAGTCTGGAAAGTGGCATCCGCCCAAGAACAATGGAAAAGACAAGAAAAAGCAACCATGTGGATACTGTGGACAAACAGGCACACACGAGGAAGGCAAAAACTGTCCAGCATATGGAAAGAAATGTATGAAATGCCAGAAGTTTAACCACTTTAGCTCAGTATGCAAATTCAGAGGACCTCCCAACAGCAAGAAAAGCCATGGGCACAAACACAGTCGAAAACCACCAGAAACCTCGAGGGACAAGCACCGTGTCAAGCGAACCACAGAAGAAGATGCTGATAACTCAACAAGTTCTGATGACGAATTTTTCTGCCAAGCTGTACGTCATCTTAAGCAGGTGAAGAAAGTCAAAACAGATAACGAGAGCAGAACTGTGTCAGTGAAGATAGAAGATGTTGATGTTAGAGTTGAGCCGGACAGTGGTGCAGAGGTGAATGTTATGGACGAACACCAATTCAAGGCATTGGCAAATCGATCAAGCGTAAAGCCAACACTACATCCAAGCAGAGTGAAGCTGAGTACCTTACAAAGTGAGCTTCACGTGAAAGGAGAATTCACAGCGACCGTAAGGAACCAGACCTGCGGAGCAGTCGCAAGATTTGTTGTGGTCAGGGGTAGAATCAATTCCCCACCGCTCATCAGCAAAGACACCCTCAAAGAGCTAGGTATGCTACAGATCCGCGAAGATGGCTCTTTTGCCGAGACCAATGACCTGAGAATCCAGGAAGAGTTGCCAGACATCAAGAGTGTCAAGCAAGCTGTAATACTCAATCCCGAAATCAAAGCAATCACTGATCGATACAGCGATGTATTCAAGGGCATTGGGAAGATACGAGACATCAAGAATGGAAAAGAGTTCTATGCTAAATTCAGCATGAGACCAGAAGCTGCTCCTGTAGCCCAGAAACCAAGACCAGTCGCATATTATTTGCAAGATCCCTTAAAGAAATGGCTTGAACAGTGTGTAGAAGAGGAGATATTTGAAGAGGTGCCTGAAGGTGAACCAGTAACATGGTGCTCTCCATTAGTAGTTCAGCCAAAGCCAAAGTTCAGCAGCGTAGGTAAGGAAGACCTGGAACCACACATGATTAGGGCCAGTGTGGACCTCAGGATACCCAACCAATTCATGGAGAGACACAGGATAACCCAAGGAACGGTTGTTGAGGACTTTATGTACAAGTTCCACGACTGTACCATCTTCTCCAAATTTGACATGAAGCAGGGGTACCACCAACTGCTTCTCGATCCAGAATCCAGAAAAGTCGCTACCTTCAGCACACCATGGGTGAACATGCGACCAAAACGTCTAATCTTTGGAGCAAAAGCATCGCAAGATCTCTTTGATGAAGCTATCTACCGAATTTTCGGAGACATACCAAGGTGCCTCAACCAGCGCGATGATATCCTGATAGGAGGGAAAGACATAGAAGAACACAACAAAACATTGGAAGCCGTTCTGCAGAGAGCAACAGATTTTGGCGTCACTTTCAACCCTGAGAAGTGCCAATTCGGAGTGGAAGAGATAGAGTTCTATGGGCACAAGTTCACGAAGAACGGATTAAAACCAAACCCAGAGAAGGTCAGAGCCGTGAAGGAAAGCAGCCCACCAGAATCGAAAGAAGCTGTGCGAAGCTTTCTTGGCATGACTGGGTATTTATCAAAGTTCATCCCCAAATACGCATCACTAACCGCACCTTTGAGACAGCTGACCCACAAAGATACGAAGTTCAAATGGGGAGCAGAAGAGAATGAAGCATTTGAGAAGCTCAAAGCAAGCATAACAAGTGAAAGCACAATGGCGTACTTCAACCCAGCCAAAGCTATTGTTGTGAGAGTTGAAGCCAGCTACCATGAAGGACTATCAGCCGGATTATTCCAGGACACAGGCAATGGCCTACAGCCAGTCCACTTCATTAGCCGCAGCATGACTGACACCGAGAAAAGATACAGTCAGACAGAGAAAGATGCCCTCTCCATACATTGGGCAAAGAACAGATTCAGCATTTACCTTCTGGGAGCGCCAAAATTCAAGATCATCACAGCTCACAAACCATTACTTCCATTGTTTAACAAGGCAGCCATGCGACTTCCACCAAGAATAGAAAAATGGGTAATGGGAATGCAAGATGTCGACTTTGAGCTAATCTATGAACCTGGAAAGGATGAAGCCGATCCACTTGACTTCCTGTCGAGACACCCTTTGCCAGAAACTGGAGAGGATACCATAGAGAGAGTGATCAAGTACACGGTGACAGCCGAACATGCTGTTGTTGTAGATCACATCAAGGAAGAAACTCTCAAAGACACCCAGCTTCAGAAACTTTCCATCAGAATACTCACTGGAGATTGGGAACAACACAAGAAGGACCCAGACATTGCACCATTTTATAGTGTACAGAATGAGTTGTACGTAGTCAATGACCTAATCTTCAGGATGAATCAGATCATTGTCCCAACAAGCCTACAGAGAAAGGTCATCAAGGCAGCACATCACCTGGGACACCTGGGAATGACAAAAACAAAGCAGATGTTAAGAGCAAAGTATTGGTTTCCAACCATGAACAATATGGTAGAGCAGATCATCGGTCAATGTTACGAATGTCAGGTAACCACGAAGCAGCACAGACAGGAACCCATCAAAGTCACAGACATACCAAAGAAACCCTGGGATGTCATATCTGTAGACTTCAGCGGACCCTATCCTGACGGTCATTATAACCTAGTGGCCATTGACAAGAGAACAAGATACCCTGAAGTCATGAAGACTCACTCGACAGCATTCCAGCCGACCATGGAAAAGCTCAAAACCATGTTTGCCACTCATGGGACTCCAAGACAGCTACAAAGTGATAATGGACCACCATTTAACTCCAGAGAATTTGCCGAGTTTGCCAAAACAGAGGGATTCCACCATCACCGAGTTACCCCAGAACACGCACGTGCTAACGGAGAGGCAGAAAGCTTCATGAAACTACTGAATAAGACTGAGCAGATCGCTCGTCTCATTGGGGGAAAAAGCAGTGTAGCTATTCAAGAGATGCTAACAGGCTATCGCTCAACACCGCATCCTGCTACTGGCGTGCCACCATATGAAGCCCTAATGAACAGACAGATCAGAACCAAACTAGATCACCAAGCGAGGGAGTGCAATGAGAATCCCCGTGACACAGCCATCGACAAGCGGGATGAGAAATACAAAGATAAGATCAAACAGAATGCCGAGAACAGGAACACCAAAGAGCACAATTTCTTAGTCGGAGATCATGTCCTGTTGAAACAGAAAAAGAGAAACAAATGGTCTACCGCATTTGAACCAGCATTCTACAGAGTAACTCGAATAGACGGATCAAGCATTGCAGCAAAAAGGATCACAGATGGACGCGAAGTGTACCGTGACGCAAGCCAGTTCAAGATTGCTAACTCACTGATCCAGGAAAACACCAGCGAAGAAAATGAAGACCAGGAAGAACAAAAGAACCAAGAGGATTGGAGAGAGAAGATTCTACTGAATGCCAACCCTCACTCAGTCCAGGAGGAGACTAAGGAAAGCAGCGCAAAGGAAGCAGCTAAAACCAACACCAGCGACAAAGCGGACCAGAGCAAACAACCTATGCCAGCAGCTGCGACCAGACCAAGGCGTGATCGAAAACGTCCAGAGTATTTGAAAGACTTTGTCACCTAAAGACTGTACTTTAACTGTACCTAACATGGAACAGAAAGGACTGTGCTTTGAAATAGCATGCCTAGTCTAAGTTAGGACACATGTTTTAAGTTGCGTTGTTTTTCACTTAAGGAAGAGACTATCTCGAAAGAAAAGGAGAAATGTAATATCCAGTCCAGTATTCCGAGATTTGCAACATAGTTCAGTTCGCACATGCGCATTAGCAACACTTTGCATTACCACGTTGTCAGCTCGAGTCGGAGAAGTTTGTTCTATTAAAGCATTGTTTATACTGAGAGGACTAGCGGTTGTTACAAATTTATCATCAGTTCTGTGAGACAGGTGTGCATGGTGATTGTTTTCCTTACCATATTTTGCCAATCTTCAAAGGTGCTATATCATTCCACCTTGAGGCAGGACAAATTTGTGTTTAGTGTGAAATCTGACAGATTTTTCAAATTATGATTTAAAGGAAAACATTAATCAAGAAAATTCAATCTCACTTTCTAAATGTAAGTCATTGATGAAGAAGGAAGCCAAAATATTTGCATTTCACATAGTAGTCAAATGGAAGTAGTCAAACAGAAGATTCATACCTCTGGATGCTGCATGAATGATGATCAGTACTCAGGACGCTAAGAATATAACAATCATGGTTCCCAATTTTGCATTCAAGCTGAATCTCCATATCCAAGTAGACTCCAGGATCAATTGGTACATCCATGTAATTGACACTATGTGGTCAACAAATATTTTTCAGTTTTTCAGTGCATCCAGGATTGACAACCTTAAAATTTTGCAGAGACAAATCCTGTCAAAACTCTTGGTGGAGCCAAACAAATTTCGTCAGCCCAGTGCACTATGTCATTACAACTTCGAATGAGACACAGCATCCTTGGAAAATAACTTTGAGTCAAGGCAGGTTTTATCCTAATATACGAGTTAACTACTTCAGCTAGGCAGTATTAAATGTTTCTTCTTCGAAATTATGCTGGCGGAATTTTTAACGAACATAAATTAAGTTATCCATCAATAAATAAATCTATCAACGCACATGATGTATCAAGTACGCCAACGAAATAAATAAGCACAGCTGACTCCAATAGAGCACAAAAAGCCTCCACAGTTCAATAAAACAACTTTGTAATCATATTTACATCATGTATTCAAAGCAGAAGGTACAGCTTCAAGAAGTTCAAGCAAAGATATGGATCCTCCACACAAAGGACTTTGCAAATATCTACCTTCTGATGAATTAGAAATATTATCCTTAAAGCTAAAGACTTCATGATTATTTTACACCACCCCGGACGGAGAATGCAATGTAAAGTATGTTCGATTCCGAGAGATGGCTAGAGGCGAAATTGATTTCATTTGATCCTTAAACCGCGGTTAATTTCGCTGAATATTGAAAAATTCCCTTGAGTTCTGTGGTAGAGAACATCAAAAACAGCCCCTCATCAGTCATCAATAGAAGACGGGTACCCAGCACACACGCGCTGCTCGGTTTCAGTTGTTTTCACAAAAACATCGTTTCGTTCCCTTACCTTCAAAGCTGCATCATGTCTGAAGCTCATCTTCAGTCATAATCTTCAAAAGAGGATCTAATACCGTGAATCATATCAAGTGCGAGAAAGTGAAAGTGTTTGTGTTTTTCCTCACTTCCTGGTTGTCTCGTCCCAGGCCTTCTCATTCTTTAATGCCTAACCAAGGCCCCAGCCCAAATCAGCTCTGAGCTCGTAGGAAGTTGTCATGAACGAATTAACTTTTATGTTCTCTACTGTTGAGGAAGATGTGAAGTGACCCCACTACATATAGTTGGTACTATTGACAGAATGGATGGGAGCGACATTTACTGTGACAAGCTGGTATTCAAGAGATTGTCTTTACTACCAAAAGCTTACTACTAGTATATATTATCAATCTTTTGTTCTCTTCAGGCAACTTGCCTCGATTAGCTTATGCTATATGCAGCTTGTGTCTATACCTTTTTTGCAACTGTAAAATTACGAATAAAGTTTTTGAAAGTTTTTTCCAAATTTCATTGGAAAAGAACAGGAGGAGTGATCAGGTGAAATATTGTCATGTTCCCTAAGAGTGTTTGAGCTTCTGATGAGAGCTATAAAATATCTTAGAGTGTCTGAGATATGATTTGTCTGCCATAAAATTTCAAATAGGCATCCAAGCTGATGGCCATTACTGCAGAATATGCAATGCAAAAGTCTCCTTTTGAGATGCCTCATTTCTCTAAAATCTGATAGATGGAAATCATCCGTTTTCCTACAGAGATCTACCAACCTCTCCACATTAGTTTAATCAGACCTTATTTAGTCTTGTTCCTAGGAAAAAAAGGCTATTGGAAATATTTTTTTTTAATTCTCGCTGTTAAATATCAGCCTTACTGGTTCTTTATTGTTTAGCATGTAATAAGAGTCTTTTCAGACCATCGAATTGTCACATAACTCTTGTAATTTATGGGGTTGGAGAATAAGGCTGCAAAGAGTGTATACAATTTTGTTGTGCAGTTGAAATGATAAAATGAATGTGATTTTGATTGGGAAATAATTGATTTACTTAACTATTTATGTTACAACTGGAAGCCCAAATTAGTACTTGTTTTAATTCACAGTTTCCCCACGTCATTGATCACTCGACATTGACCCTTTTTGTTTTGGTAATCGGCCCCGCTGGTTGTGATTCACTTGAAGAAAATCTTTTGAAACAAAACATAAACATCTGTAAACTTTAATTTCTGGCTAAAATTGGAAATACATTGCACTAGCAGTACAGTTGAAGCTCTAAAAAGCCCACACAGGAAGGTGAGTACTTCAAATGATCAACGATAAGTTGAGATAGCAATGACACGATAAAAGTGTACTATCCAATTCGTTTGTACTCTTCGACAGGCCTCTTGCATCCTTCACAAATAACATCATCTACATCGATCGCCCAAACAATCACAAGACAAGACTCGAAGTCGTTTTGCTTTTTGAAAATAACTTCCTTCCACACACCACACAACAATTTTAAGACTTTGCCGCTTCCATCTAAGTAATAGTGCGAAAAATGACAAGAAAAGTTGTCTCAAATACTCGATCCACTGATGTTTTCCGACGTATTTTCCTGCTTCTATTCTTTCGCGATTACCGACAGAGGCGCATGCCAGCGGTTTCTCGCATCAAACTAAAATTTACAGGATGTGAGCAACAAAATGCCCCTCAGCTATATGAGCCTCTTCAAATTTCAATCATTGGCCTGTAGAAGTGAATTTTGAAATTCGTTCATCGTTCGTGCAGGAGTGACACCATGTCTACTTTTTCAGTTCTTTAGGAAAGTGAAGGGGAGTGGACTTCAGATAAAACTACTGAAATCTTGGGATTAAGAATTCCCGCATATTTCGTCCCTGATCCTCAGTTGCTTCATGACTTTATTACTGGTTTTCAGACCAGACCGGACGATGTGTTCGTTGTAAGCTATCCCAAATCAGGTGAGTTGTGTCTACTGACAACGTTTGTTTGTATCCTTCATAAGAAAGATGACCCTTTGAGTCAGATAGCGGTCAATCTGACTCTAATGTTTGCTTCCAATGAGTAAACGTGGGATTTAATCAGGATTTTTATTAGGAGCCAGGTCCCGGTTACCGGCACCCGTCTACTTTGAAAAGAGTACCCGGCTACTTGAAGTACGAAATGAAAAAAAGGAAATCGTTATGAAAAAAATTATCAACCTCAACTAAATATTAACTCTTCCCTGTAAGTTTAAAACCTTTTTTCTGCACTTATTTATCAATTACTTGCCATCAGATTGTGGAAATAAGATTTACTCTGACGAGAAGGCGCTGCGCGTTGATAAGGACCTTAAGCAAACCACGACGGCGACGGCAACGAGGACATGGAAAAACGAAAGATATAATGGGCAGAACAATAGCTCAGCACGTGCGTTTTTTCATTTCTGAGCTGTCCTATGCAAAACAACAACGTGACATCACCACAATTTGCGTCGTCTGCGAACCGAAACCGCGACGGCAAATTATTTTAATTTCTATTTGGAACTTGGAACTCAACGCTTCTTTGATACCAAATGCTGAGGTTGAGGTGTGGCGCCGTATGAGACAGTAAACACATGCAGCCATTTTTGAAATTCTAATCATAGGCAGAAATTCCTTCTTCTTTGGCGTTGCCGCCCTGACTGCTTAAGGTCTCTCACAGCGTTCTTAGAACTGTCTCTTCCTAAAGTGCCTAATTAGCTATTACATATCAAACTCATGGGGTACAAATAGTCTTAACATGAAGGTAGTGACCACGCCTACTTCAACACCCCACTCAAATCGAGTGTCATTTTCGAATGTTTTACCATCCTTCGGATTCTCTACGGAAAAAGCACTCAACTTACCTCTGAAATATTAAACTATAACATTGTGGCTTTTTATTTCGCTAATTTTCTAACTTGAAGGTAAAGTTTTTCCCTCGTCATTTTTACCTTTTCTCCGAGCAGTTGCGTGAAATTAACAAGGCGATTTTGATCAAAACACGACCGAGCGAAGGGTCCCGGGCAATATCTCTTTTACGCAGGCGCAAATTAAAAATATACCGCCAGAATCAAAAAGAGGAACAAATTTCCATTGTTTTGACATGTAAAGTGTCGAACAAAAAGCAGATTTACCCTCCTCAAATGGCGTTTCAAAACAGCTGTATCTTCCTCCTTTTGATTTTTTTCCTGTTTTGTGAACGTGAAGGCAGTAGGAGAGAGATCGGGAAACTCAGAAAGCGCTTCGGGAATTAATCTGCCATCGTTTACTTACAAGATAAACGAGTAAGATTGGTGAAGTTCGTTGAAGCATGAAGTCTAAATAAATGCCCTTTATAAGCTTGTTTGCTGGATTTTTCGTAAACTTCCCTGATTAATTTTTCGTTTCAGCTCACTAATCTATGCTATTTCAAAGCAATGTAAAGACGAAGACGGAGAACCATGAGTCGGTCCTTTCAACAGTCGTAAATAAAGTGTTTGAGCAATCAGGTATACGAGGTGTAATAATCAATAGCCGTATATCAAAAGTCTTCAGAAAGAAAGTATTCTGTCTTCAGAAAGCTGTCAAAAAAGCTAGTAATCGTGGCGGAAGGCAATTAAATGCACTTCTTGGCAAGTTGGAAACGGTCTCTCGGTATCGATTTAATATCATATCGATCTCAATATCATACAGTTTTGTATCTTTCTTCCGTGGAATCGCCTTTCTAACGAGGGTGTACCTTGAGTATTCATTGCAAAATCGCCATTTTGAAAATTCGTAACGTAGAGCATGTGC